ATACATACATATATACATACATATATACATACATATATACATACATACATACATACATATATACATACACAAATATTTCTCAATACTACTAATACTAATATTAACAACCATGGCATTAATAATAATAACTATAACAAAAGCTAAAGCTGATAAAATAATTATGAAATAAAAATAACAGCAACAACAACAACAACAATAATAGTAATAACAATAATTAAACAACAACAACATAGGCTCACCGCGTGGCTCCAGGCTTCACCCCCAACATGTCCCATGAGTCTTTGCTGCTGCGGATGCGTCGGATGGTGTCGGCCTGCTCTTTGGTGAAGCCCACGTTGACCTCTGACACCGGACGCTTCCCTCCGTTCTCACACATGTCGGTGATGGAGGAGAAGAACGCCTGAGAGGAGAAACACAAAGTATTCAAATACATATATATATTATTACTAAATGTATAAATATTATGAATAAATACATACCTGAAACATCTCGTTGATGCCCTCTCCGCTCTGAGCCGACGTCTCGAAGTAATGGAAGCCTCTAGACTCCGCCCACAAACGCCCCTCCCCCTCGTCCACCACACGCCGCTTCGTCAGGTCCACCTGAAACCAGAGACGGTTAGCTCCTCCCCTTTTACATTTAGCCCCTCCCCTCTGTGACCGCCTGAAACCAGAGGTTAGTTTATCCCCTTTTATATTTAGCCCCTCCCCTCTGTGACCACCTGAAACCAGAGACGGTTAGCCCCTCCCCTTTTACATGTAGCCCCTCCCCTCTGTGACCACCTGAAACCAGAGGAGAAGGTTAGCACCTCCCCTTTCCCCTTTAGCTCCTCCCCTCTCTGTGACCACAGCATCTCATTGGACGAGCCCATCCTCACCTTGTTGGCGCACACGATGAACACGATGCTCTCCATGTTGGCCTGAGAACCCATTTCCTGTTTCATCTCCCCGAGCCAGCTGTCCAGAGCGTCGAAGCTCTCTCTGAGGCCGACGTCGTAGACCAGGAGGACCCCCTGACTGTCTTTGTAGAACTCGTTACGCACCTGAGGAGGGAGGAGAGAAGAGGGGTCTGAGTAACCAACATATGGGTACCATGAGAGAGATAATACTCTGATGAACGCGCTGATGTGTTTTTATGTTTGTGGTGTTAATATTGTGAGCTCCAGAGCAAAATACAAAACTGGTACCGTCTGCTTTCTTTGAGAAATGAGTGGTGAGATTTAACATGGAGTCTAATGGAGCAGTTGGTTGGAGTTCATGTCGCTCTGCGGCTCTTTGAGCCAAATGTGTAAGTCCGTTGGATTCCACAGACATCTGTGTGCAACAGCACAACATTTCATACGTTTTGACCAAAAATGTTGTAAAAAGAGTAAAAGCTGTGGGACTGGAAGCAGTTTGTTTGGAAAAAAAAAAAAAAAATCACAGAATATTTTCCTGCTCCGCTCCACTCTGACCGTGATGTCACCACTCTAGCGCTGAACAAGCCGTGCAATACACACCCATTATAACATCTGAAACTTAATCTGTGACTTCATGAAAACTGTGCTAGCTATCAAAATGTCTATTTGGCTCAATAAAGTGCAGCGTTTTGTCTACGTTTTAAACTTTTAATCGTGTTTCTACGTTAAAGTACGGGCCCAAAGTTAAGTGTTTTTTTGCTCTCTTCACCTCATAGAAGAACGGATGACCGGCCATGTCGAAGATGTTCACTTTGATTTCTCTGTCTCGAACTTGAACTCTGAAACCACAACACTCACATTAGTATAAATAAAAACGGTAGTACAGTACCGTACAGTAGTACTACATCAGATAGATACATAACCTACTTGGTGACGCCGTAGTCGATGCCGATCGTGGCCAAATACTTTGGAACGAACCTCTTCTCACAGTAACGTTTGATGATGCAGCTCTGACACACACACACACACACACACACACGGTTAAGAGGAGCAGTGGTGTTAATATTAAACAGAAAGATGGTTATTCAGGCGCCTCAATGTATTACAGCACAAGTCATAATTATCATGAAATCATGACATTCTGAGAAACATCAGATAATCCATTACAAGAGAATAAACTCCACTCATTGCGTATTTCACAGAAGATGTGGATTTTAATGTCATTTCATGCATAAACGCACGAGTTGAAGTAAAGTTGATGGAGTGTTTTAGAACCAGCGGGTTCTGCTCTTCCATTCGGCTCACACATCACCAGCAGCAGAGACACCGCTGAGTCACAGCAGCACTGGTCACCTGCTGCACCGTTAGCTCCCCCGTTAGCTGCACCGGTCACCTGCTCCCCCGTTAGCTGCAGCGTTAGCTCCCCCGTTAGCTGCAGCGTTAGCTCCCCCGTTAGCTGCAGCGTTAGCTCCCCCGTTAGCTGCAGCGTTAGCTCCCCCGGTAGCTGCAGCGTTAGCTCCCCCGGTAGCTGCAGCGTTAGCTCCCCCGGTAGCTGCAGCGTTAGCTCCCCCGTTAGCTGCAGCGTTAGCTCCCCCGTTAGCTGCAGCGTTAGCCGCATTAGCTGCTGGATCAAAGCAGCAGGAGGAACGTTCATAACACATGACGTTATTCAATATGTAGAAGTATTCTATGAGCGGATGTTTAGAGAGCACGGTAGTTTTTACAGATAACGTCTTTGTTGATTTGATATCTGTGTGAATTAGCGGTAAAGAGTAAAGAAGCGTTAAAGTGACGGGTTTTAAACGGACTCTGGTTTCTTACCTTTCCCACTTCCGCGTTCCCGAGGCTGATCACCTTCACGCGCAGAGACTTCTTGTTATCTCGTCTCTTCGGCGCGTTTGTTTCCATTTTAATATCTTTTAAATTCACGTTTTCCGCGAGCTGCTCGCGAGGAAGAAATATCAACAGCTGCGTCGTTGTTGTTGCTGTGAGCGTAGCTAACAGCTGTTAGCAAGCCGGCTAGCAGTTAGCGCGGCTCTTAAAATGAGTAATTCTGGTTTGAACTAATCCCGCCGCGTTGTTGTACTTTAGTCCTGAAGCTCATGTTTTCAGCTCCATTGTAACTCACAGCGGCCTGGTGCTAGCCTGCTAGCCTGCTATGTTAACCAGCTGTTTAGTAACAGCGACAAGTTAGCCACAATGAAGCTAACGTACGACTTCCGCTACTCTTTTCAAAAATAAAACTGATTGTTAAAATCTCTTAATTTGTCTATATATTTGAAAAGGAGAACACATATATATATGAATATATATACATATATTCATATATATATATTCATATATATATATATATATTCATATATATATATTCATATATACATATATTCATATATATATATATATATTCATATGAATATATATATATGTATATGCATATATATATATTCATATGCATATATATATTCATATGCATATATGAATATATATATAT